TTCTAGCTCCATTAGAGGCGAAACGGCGAGCTGGGGTCGTACCGACCCCCGGAAACTCATTTTGTATACATTTAAATGAGGAACTTATAGAAAGAACACCTTTCTAATTTTTTTGCATGTCGATTTTAAAGGACCTGAGGTTTATTTTGAAAAAATAAAAATGGCAAAAATGTTGGTCCCAAGGGCCATTATAGACAATTTAAAAAAATACTACGACTTTTTTCAATATGTTAAGCTTTTCTTTCCAATTTTAAAAAAAAACTGTATTAATCTTTGATTCATCGTTAGTTCAAAGCTGTTTACCGTTTGTTGCTTGCTTAGCTCGTTTTTGAGTTATAGCTCATCAAACTCACCCTTACAATCTGAAGTTTAGAAAATATTATGCAAAGTAACTCAAAAAGTTTTGATTTGAGAAGTCTGATATTTTGACAGGTGTTTTTGGAGCCTATGATTACCCCTTCTACCAATTTTCATTAAAATCTGAGAGATGAGGGTGACGGGCCTGGTACGATCTATCGTGGAATGCCCCAGCTGCTCCTCCTCTCCCAGAACCCCCGAGACGCCGTCGACTGTCACATCCACGTGGCGGGTCAACTGGTGGAAGGGGGACCTGACCTGAAACTTCTGGGAGTGACGCTGGACAGGACGCTGAGCTTCGGCCCGCACTGCAGAAGTCTCCGTCGGCGCGTCCGGCCCCGAGCGGCCCAACTCCGACGTCTCACCGGCCGCAGCTGGGGGCTGCAAGAACAGCAGTTGCGCGCCGTCGCAAACGGCTACGTGCGCGGTGCGATAGAGCACGCGGCTGCTGCCTGGCTGCCGGCAGTGTCCAAGTCCAACATCGAGATCCTGGAGCGAGAGATGCGCGCCGCGGCGAGGATCGTCACGGGCCGCATCCACTCCGCACCACACCACGGTGTAATGGCCGAGGCTGGCATGCTGCCCGTCGCGGCACGACGTACTGCGCTAGCGGCGCGTATGTTCGCGAAGGCTGCCGCGCTCCCGCCAGAGGACCCCCCTCCGAGCGGTCGCCATGGCTGACCCCCCCTCAGCGCCTCAAGCTGGTCACGGGGTGGCGCCAAGTAGGCCGGGAGGCCCTGCGGGTGCTACGGATCGAGCTGCCGGTTGAGGCCCTGCTACCAGAGCGACCGCCACCGTGGACGCCCACCGGCAAGATCACCTTCAACCTGAGCATTGGCGCGCTGCCCGCCGGTGCGGCGAGGTCCACGAAGAGAGACGGCAGCGCTCCATCACCTGGCGTCCATGACGCAGCGCGCGACGTGGGCGTGGACCGACGGCTCGTCGAGCGGCGGAATCCTCCGCGGTGGGGCTGGCGCCCTCATCGTCGGAGCTGATGACAGCCGCACCGAGCTCCGTGTCCCAGCGGGCACACTCTGCTCCAACTTTCGAGCGGAGATGGTCGCCCTGCAGGTGACGCTGGACCACATCGTGAGATGATGTTTTTCGTACTCCAGCGTAGATGGGTAGCCATACGGCTTCCACGGTTGACAGTGATGGCATCAGTCATCTTTTGCAAGCTCGTTAAAGATTTGGGCTGTACGGGGATTCGAACCCCGGGCCTTTGGATTAGCGCTCCAATGCTCTACCTCTGAGCTATACAGACCAAGTGCTTTAACGAGCTTTCTGCCAAGTTTTATGCGGATCATTCTTAGGTGTTGTTTTTATCCGCTGGGACTGAGAGCGTGAGATGATGTTTTTCGTACTCCAGCGTAGATGGGTAGCCATACGGCTTCCACGGTTGACAGTGATGGCATCAGTCATCTTTTGCAAGCTCGTTAAAGATTTGGGCTGTACGGGGATTCGAACCCCGGGCCTTTGGATTAGCGCTCCAATGCTCTACCTCTGAGCTATACAGACCAAGTACTTTAACGAGCTTTCTGCCAAGTTTTATGCGGATCATTCTTAGGTGTTGTTTTTATCCGCTGGGACTGAGAGCGTGAGATGATGTTTTCCGTACAGCCCAAATCTTTAACGAGCTTGCAAAAGATGACTGATGCCATCACTGTCAACCGTGGAAGCCGTATGGCTACCCATCTACGCTGGAGTACGAAAAACATCATCTCACGCTCTCAGTCCCAGCGGATAAAAACAACACCTAAGAATGATCCGCATAAAACTTGGCAGAAAGCTCGTTAAAGTACTTGGTCTGTATAGCTCAGAGGTAGAGCATTGGAGCGCTAATCCAAAGGCCCGGGGTTCGAATCCCCGTACAGCCCAAATCTTTAACGAGCTTGCAAAAGATGACTGATGCCATCACTGTCAACCGTGGAAGCCGTATGGCTACCCATCTACGCTGGAGTACGAAAAACATCATCTCACGCTCTCAGTCCCAGCGGATAAAAACAACACCTAAGAATGATCCGCATAAAACTTGGCAGAAAGCTCGTTAAAGTACTTGGTCTGTATAGCTCAGAGGTAGAGCATTGGAGCGCTAATCCAAAGGCCCGGGGTTCGAATCCCCGTACAGCCCAAATCTTTAACGAGCTTGCAAAAGATGACTGATGCCATCACTGTCAACCGTGGAAGCCGTATGGCTACCCATCTACGCTGGAGTACGAAAAACATCATCTCACGCTCTCAGTCCCAGCGGATAAAAACAACACCTAAGAATGATCCGCATAAAACTTGGCAGAAAGCTCGTTAAAGTACTTGGTCTGTATAGCTCAGAGGTAGAGCATTGGAGCGCTAATCCAAAGGCCCGGGGTTCGAATCCCCGTACAGCCCAAATCTTTAACGAGCTTGCAAAAGATGACTGATGCCATCACTGTCAACCGTGGAAGCCGTATGGCTACCCATCTACGCTGGAGTACGAAAAACATCATCTCACGCTCTCAGTCCCAGCGGATAAAAACAACACCTAAGAATGATCCGCATAAAACTTGGCAGAAAGCTCGTTAAAGTACTTGGTCTGTATAGCTCAGAGGTAGAGCATTGGAGCGCTAATCCAAAGGCCCGGGGTTCGAATCCCCGTACAGCCCAAATCTTTAACGAGCTTGCAAAAGATGACTGATGCCATCACTGTCAACCGTGGAAGCCGTATGCCTACCCATCTACGCTGGAGTACGAAAAACATCATCTCACGCTCTCAGTCCCAGCGGATAAAAACAACACCTAAGAATGATCCGCATAAAACTTGGCAGAAAGCTCGTTAAAGTACTTGGTCTGTATAGCTCAGAGGTAGAGCATTGGAGCGCTAATCCAAAGGCCCGGGGTTCGAATCCCCGTACAGCCCAAATCTTTAACGAGCTTGCAAAAGATGACTGATGCCATCACTGTCAACCGTGGAAGCCGTATGGCTACCCATCTACGCTGGAGTACGAAAAACATCATCTCACGCTCTCAGTCCCAGCGGATAAAAACAACACCTAAGCTGGACCACATCCTGGAACACCAGCGGGACGCACCAGAACCGGTCATCATATGCACCGACTCGATGTCGGCGGTAGCGGCGCTGAGAGAGGGTCCGTCGGCACAGCGCTCGGCCAGAGGCGCTGCCATATGGAAGCAGCTGCTGGAGCTCACCGCCGGAGACCGAACGGTCACCCTCCAGTGGGTTCCATCCCACTGCCAGATCCCGGGGAACGAGTCCGCCGACGCCCTGGCAAACGAGGCTGCGACGCTGGCACAAGAAGACGTCATGCTCGATGTAGACACCATCTACCGAGCGGCAGTCCGCACCGCCAGAGACCGCGCCGCAAGGGACAGGCCGACATAGGCACATACCCGGACCCCGACCGCAAAGCCGCAACCGGGTGGTACAGAGAGCTCATGGGTGCAAGATGGCCATCACCTCTCACCAACATGGACAGGGCGACAGCAGTAGACGTCCCCCAGATCCGCACTGGGCGCTGGAGCGGCTCGGCGCAGTTTCTCCATTCTATCGGACGAAACCCATCTGCGGACTGCCCACAGTGCAGGAACCTCGACTGCCCTGCAGCTCGTTGCCCGCTGTGCGGCGAGCAAGCTGACACACCACGACACATCCTGCTGACCTGCCCAGGACTGATGGGGGTTCGCCTCAGAATCCCGGCGGTCGGCAACATACTGCCGACGGTGGAGGAGGTCAGGCGCGGCGACACGGTGGCGGCCCTGGTGGCCGCCTTCAGGGCCCTCCAGAGCTAAGAAGCTACACCGCGGCTCTGCCGCGGATGGAGGGGACAACAACAACAAAAACAGGGGAAATGCAACATCCTGCACCTGGGACGCAACAACCCTCGGGTCAAATACGCCATCCAAGGAGTTGAGCTGGAGGTGGTCGAAGCCGAGCGCGATCTTCGTGTCTTCGTGGACTCCTTGCTCAAGATCCACATACAGGCTGTTGCTGCTGCAGTGAAGGCCAACCAGATCCTAGGATAGGAATCATAAAACTGTCATTCGAGCTTATCGACAAGTCCACCCTCCCACTGCTGTACACAACACTTGCCTGGAGAGCAACGTGCCTGGCAACCTCAATCAGACACGTTCCCTATGAAGAGTGTCTACAAGAACTAAGGCTGCCTTCACTGTTCTATCGGCGGCAGCGAGGCAATGTGATTCAAATGTACCAACTGATGCATTGAGGTGTTGCCCTGGCTCCCGAAGAGTTCTTAACTGCTTCCACCGACAGTCGTACTTGAGGCCACTCACAGAAGGTCTAGAAGCCCAGAGCCACCACCAGACCAAGGAGAAAATCGTTCAGTGTGAGGACAGTCAATGACTGGAATGGCTTGCCCCAGACAATCGTTGACACTGCCAATAATAATATCGAGCAGTTCAAATCAAGATTGGATGCCCACTGGGCAAACATCAGGTACATGGTAGGTACCTACCTGATAGGAGCTAGAAAAGTCCAAAAGGTCACGAGCTCGATGAGAACAGTTCCCTAAAGGCCAAGTGGCCTCTAAATTCTGATCAAATCAAGGTAAGGTAAGGTAAGGTTGGCAGGTCGTACGTTGTTGTTAGGTTGTAGGTTCGTATACAGCTAAAAAACGAACTCAACTCACGTTTCAAGCTTCGGTGGTCCAAGAAGTCACCGGACAAGCACGGACAGGCACTACCACACTCCCCAACACCTCCGCAGCTCGATAAGCACTATCGCTATTCGCTCAACTGTGGGCTTATGGTCTTGGGCTTCCCAGGCTTACCCAGAGACGCGTTTGATCAAGGCCGTATCGTTTGATTTCTCCACTGAACTCTAGATTTCTCCAAGCATGCACCATCATGCACCTCAACCTGCATGCACCGAGAAGTGGTGTTCCCTCTGTTCTCCTGGCGTAAACGCGATTGAACAAGAGGGATGAAAAGCGCAATGATTGGTTGATTTCTCTGCGATATTTTGCGCAAATAAAGATTGAACATATTAGCTATAACTTTCGCGCTAAGATAACATTTAAAACCTTTGCTATAAATTACGTCATCAGTATGCCAAAGCTTAGGTTTTAAGTCTTTCTTTTTTTTACATTTTTTAGATGTTTTTGAATTTCAAAAATTTTGATTTCAAATCATAACGCATCCATGCTTTCTCATTTGCTGAAAAGTGACAAGAATTACAACTAAGCATAGCTAACCATTCCAATGATACCGCATATTTCGACCAATCAGAGTTCCACGTAAATTCTTACCGGATGATGGAGAGTAAAAAGCAAAAAGACACATTTCCGCTAACCTAGCAAATTCTGGAAATTTGCTGAAAACATACGGCGGAACCAGGCGGAAATCCCATACGGCAGGAGTATTCTATATATGGCCTTGAGTATTCTTCATTTTTAGGAGTTATGTGTCGCCTGGTTACGATATTGATATATACACAGTTCATATAGATGTAAAGGGCATTTCGCCGAATTCCTGCGACCCAGAGGATCGAGAGTATCTAAGGTTTAGACCCAGAGACAGGTGAGGTGGAGACTGGATAATTGTCATAATTCGGGATAGGTACCTACTACCTAGGTACTTACCTGCCTATTTTTCGCACTTCTGGCATGAAGTTTTATCGAACGAATTAAAAGCCATATGCTCACTGTTCGGGAGCTCATTGTTAACTGGCTCAAATTGTGGAAGCCCATTGGAGGTGAAATCTTCATTTTGCACCCTAGCTCCAAATTCTTATACTTACTTACTTATACTTGTAAAATGCGAAATTTAGGAAGGCCTTTTGGCCTCTTGGATCCGGACGTGACAAGCTTTGTGTGACGTGACGAGCTACAACTAAATTCAACAAAAACCACACCATATTGTCAAAACATAAATCCAGACTAGAAAAGATACATGTTATGCTGAATCTGCTGAATATGTCTGGCATAGTGGCAGCCGGCAGGCTTCCGGCAAAAATTTCAGCGCATGGTTGGCATAACCTCGCATGCACCAAATTCAACACATGGCAGCTGCAGATTTTTGTTTTTGGTGCAGGGGGGCTGCATATTTTTTTTGGTAAATGGCAGTTACCAAATTTTTTGGCACTCTGGTAAATCTATCAGCAGGTTCACCCTGCGGGCCGCTCTGCAGAGGGTTAGGGATGAGACGTCCCTCACCCTAGCCCGATCATTGTGTGTTCTCATTCTGACTGGTGAGCCGCCCTGAGTCTACTCAGTGGAGGAGCAGCTGCCCAGGTGAGGGCTCCACCCTCGGCGTGGAGATGGGTAAAGAAGACCTTGTTGAACATTGCTGAGAGTCGTGAAGTAATTCTGCAGTGGGTTTCTGCCCACTGCTGGATCAAGAGGAATGAGAGCGCGGAGGACCTGGCAAGCAAGTGGCCGCCCTGCCCTCAGACGCTCGCTCGCTAACCGGGGCGGATCATAATGCAGCCTCGCATCAATGGGGCGACAACTGGTCCCAGTCATTATTCGAGTGAATCTTTGGGAGCACGCTGCCGCTCCCCATCTCAGGGGAGGACCGAGAGAACGCCGTTTTGGTGCACCAGATCACAGATGAGAGCGGGCTATTGGGGCCGCTCGCTCCAGTACGTCCACCGAATCGGCCGTCTTCCCTCCGCGGCGTGCCAGCAGTGCCCTCTGAGGGGTGTTCACGGGCACCGCACACTGCTGCGTGCGGTGTGTGCGGAGCGTCCAGCAGGCGTGGGGGTAGGGGATGGGTAGGCGGCACTGACGTCACGGCTGCGTGCGGTGGACGGTCCGCTGTGGCCAGTCCCGACCGGCCACAGCGATCGCTGTATGCGGTGACGGAAGGCTGACGTAGGGACGCAGTGGGCGGAGCTTCGAGGCTGTGTGCGGTCCGACCGCACACAGGGCCCGTGAACAGCCCCCTTGTTTCACGGCACGTCGCATACAGTGCGCTACTCGTATTGTGGTATTGGGTTTCCATGGAAACATCAATTAATTCGGACGCTCAAACATGGGAGAGCGTCCAAGGCCAGGGAACGCTGTCTGGTTGATATAGCCTTGGTCGGTTGATGTGGACATGTGCTTTATGTAAAATAAATTTAATTTTGGCGCAAATAGGCACCCAACTTGCGGCGCAAATCACGCAGAAATTTCAGCGCAAAATTGCTTGCGCCGAATTTCGGCAAACCCGGCCGTAACCCGGCAGTCTGACCGTAAATCAACCTAGAATATTTTTCATGCAACCATTCAATGCTAAAAAAGTCAGGTACAATACAAGTAGAATTATAGCAATCCTAATCTGACCTGACCTAACCTTACCTAACAAAATAACCTTGCCTGTTTCAACGTGTGGTTGGGTGTAAGTTATAAATGTTTTGTGTAAAAAGTATTGTAAGTATCGTCGTGTGGTCTCACTTCAACTTTGGAAGGGTGTGTTCTTTCTATTGAATTTGAGTTATAGTACCGACTGTTCAGTTATATCGTTTTTTCGTGATTCCCGCTGAAAAGTGAATACTGATGATCATGCATGCCATTTGGAAATTGATGTTTATTTCTATTTTTCAGGTCCAGAAGTTTCACTTGCCAATGGAAATAACTGTGATTATGAACAGGACCAAGCTTGTATGATGCTTGCAATTCTGTGATATTTGAAGCATCAAAGACTAAGAGCTTTATGCAGGTTGTTGCCTGTTAGCAGTTGAAGATAGAAGATATTTGTATGTATATACTGAAGTGACTTGGCGAGTGGAGGTCAAGATGTCTCTGACCCTTGCAGAAAAGAAAGAATTTGTCAAGCTTGTGTGTCTGTGCCTTCTGTGGTATGCCATAAGCTCAGTGAATAATGTTGTCGGGAAAACGCTGTTGAACTACTTCCCATACCCAAACACCCTGAGCATGGTCCAGCTTCTCTCAATCACAGTGTATTCTGAACCAATATTACGGTGTCTCAGAATAAGGCCACACTCTGATATGAGCTGGAGCTACTATGTATCAGTCATTGTTCCCCTGGCCACCGGGAAATTCCTGGCCGTTTTGTTTTCTCACATAAGTATATGGAAAGTACCACTTTCATATGCACACACAGGTGAGAATGTTTTTTTATAGTTTTTTTTTCGTTGCTATTTTGTACATCATCTTATCAGACAAATTTTGTTGCATGTAGAAAGATCAGGACCACTTGTGATACCTATGGAGTTTAATGTTATTGTCTGCATTTGCTTTGAATCTTTTCATCGCATTATGAAGCTGTCTGCATTGCTAGTTTCTGTGTCGTAAATAATGTTCAATTGAAACATATTTGTTTGTTTTTTCAGTGAAGGCAATGATGCCTATATTTACTGTTATCTTTGGAAGAGTGCTGTTAGGAGAGCGGCAAACTTTTTCGGTAAGTATACTAGCATTAACTGACCGTGTATTGTTTTTGCTTCTTAATCCTCGTCTCGGGGGTGGATGAAACGGACCGTTTCGATGGCTAGGAGTAATGCCGATATTGCCACCAAATGGTCAGTGCCCATTTTCTGTCCCAATTTAGGTTAGGTCAGGTCGCGTTTGTATAATCATAACGTGATCTTCTAATGTCGTGACATGGGCGCCGATGGCCACTGTAGTCCGGGCGCCCAAAAACCCCAATTCACCTTCATCAGGTCAGGTCAGGTTAAGAACATTCTGAGCAACAACACACGAGTTGGATTCCTCGCAACGAGCTGCATCGGCTGGATACCTTTTATAAGTAGCCCAGGCGATTTGTACAGTCATTTGACGTGTCTGCGGTCGCCAGGTGTACTGTTCTCTTATTCCGATCGTGGTCGGGGTCGGTATCGCCACCATCACGGAGCTGTCGTTCGACATCATCGGTCTGCTCAGCGCCCTCACCTCCATCGCAGTCTACTCGGTCATGCAGCTGTTCTCCAAAAAGGTCAGCGGAGGGGGTGCACGTTTTCGTCAGAGTCGCCGATGTTGGAGCTCGTTGAAATATGTCGTCATAGTTCATACATAAGGACCCTCAGTGACATCATTTAGCATTACGAGTCAAAAGCGCACATTTTCGCGTGGTGTTTTCTCGATTTATGTGTTGTCTCGACAGATCTGATAATGGATAGGATATTCGGTCGTAAAGCCTGGTTTTGAAAGCGGTTAGCCTATTTTTACGCAATGAGAATCAGTTGCTCTTTGGAAATTTCTTTAACAAATCCAGTCCGAACCTTTTATTCGTGAAGTTTTTGTCGTGATTGCACTTACAATTTGCATTCATTATGCGTATAAATGACATTTCATCCAATCAGTTACGTTGTAGAAACCTCGTAGATGACCCCGCGTAAGACTGAACTCAGCTGAGTGTCCCGTTCCCTGTTTTCACAGACGATGAAGGACACGGGTATCCATCACCTTCGGCTGCTTCTGGTGCTCGGTAGGCTGGCCTTCTTCATGTTTCTGCCCTTCTGGGTGATGTTCGATCTCAGAAAGCTGATGGTCGCCGATGACCTGGTAAGTTACAAGCATCAGGACTTTATGTCAATGCAATTATTTGTAACCGTCACCTCACAAAGGATCTTCCGTCAGTGTCTCAAAATTATATTTTAGCTTGGGTGTCAGAGAGGAAAATTATTCCGTAGACAGGGTGAAGGGAGTGGAAAATTGCTGGTAAGGTAAAGCTAACAAAAGATGCGAGGGATAAGGGTGGAGTAAAAACAGATTGATATCACACTTTTTCACAAAAAATTGATAGGATATAGCGTGTAATGTAAGCATCGATATGTTGTTTAAGACCATGTACGCATATGCCCTTTGCTTTTGACGTTCGGAGTGGAAAACTGATCTTGAAAGGTTGAAAAGAGTGGAAAATGGTCTTCATTTGGATGTCGTTTCACACCCAAATCGATTAATTTTGGGACACTGTCTTCCGTAGTCCGTACTAACCCACAATACACGCTGCTTAAGGATTCAAAAAGAAATATGACGAAGCTGAACTAGTTTTCGCTTAGTTCTGTTTTGGTTCGCTGAACTAGTTTTCGGGCGGATTAAATGCATTTCTGGATGGATCCGAATTGTAAAGGTTAATTGTTGGAGCGTTGTGTACCTTACAGTTTTGTGAGGAACGTATACCTAGTAATTAGGAACTGTTGCTATCATTTCAGTCAGGTTGTTGGTATTTAATAGGCGATTCTTAACCCGCGCCCCGTAGGGGGGGGGCGTTTTAGGGGGCCGAAACGCCCCCCCCCCCGTCCTTTTCCGTCGATATCTCCTAAACGGCTGGAGATAGCGCCACCAAACTTTCAGGACCCCTCCGGGCATCAATTTTACACATTGTGACCAAAAAGAATTCCAGAGGCTATGATAGGTTGGCCACAAATGACGTCAGAATGACGTCAGTTCTGCGAGTTTCGACCGAAAAAGACCTTCGCGGGAAGAGCTGTCAGGCCTACAGCTTTGAAGATACAGAAAAATGATCAGGCATAAAGGGTGTAGAGTCGACAGGGCTACAAAACTGATATCTCGGATTTATGAAATTTTTGAGTTTTGACCCCCAAAAAGCAAAAAAGCAATTTTTGGATATATTAGCCAAAAAATCCAAAAAGTTTGTTGAGTTTCGAAAAAAACTGGAATATATGTGATAGTACCCACCGTCTTCTATCTACACACCAAATGTCAGATCGATATCTCGTTTTGTGGCCAAGTTATAGCAAAAAAAAAAAACTGTTCAAAAATGATGACGTCAAATTTTTTAACTCAATTTTTGGCAATTCTAGACCACGTAGGGCAAAATAAAGACCACCATTAGACTCCCCGTGACGAGCTGCATCGAATCGATACCCATTTTATGCAAAAATATCAACTTTGAAATTTGACCTGACCTTGATCTGACCTTGACCTGACCTTGACCAAAACGTGACCTAAGCTGGCCCCAAAGGCTGCCTGACCCACATAATCGCATTTGTCGTGTAAAATGGACCATAAAACATGTATCACACGACACTTTCATATTGTGACCCCCCAGTGACCTGACCTCTGTGACCTGACCTGGTATCAGTGACCTCAGATAGCAAAGTATGTGTTTGACGAACAATTTATTATCGATGGTTTTCAATAACTTACCAATTTACTCGATTTCACAACACATTTCTTGAAATACCTAAAAATCCGACATTTGACCTGACCTGTGACGTCATCGGTTTGACCTAGGTCAATGAAATTTGGTCACAAGGTAGTTCCCCGGTGGGGCTATCGAACGCCGTTTGAATTTTGAAAATCGGCCGGTAAATTTCCGAGATCTTGGGGGGGGCGAAACGCCCCCCCCCCCCCCCCTACGGGTGGTAGGGTCCGCCGATAGCCCTACGGGGCGTGGGTTAATAAAGTTCAGCATGTTCAGCAATCAGCATACATCTGGGATGCTGATTGTATTAATTTACAAAGTTCACCCTAATGAATTTGACGCGATCTGATCAGACTTTAACTTTGCTTTGGTTTTGCGAAGAGAAAATCTGTATTTTTGTGATAAAGAGCGTCCTTCTTTTCGCGCAGACAAGCCTAAATTGGAGGCGAAATAGCGGAGGGTCTTGCCGGCATTACGATCCATCCTTTTTAGAGGAAGGCGCACGGCATACATAGATTTGGGACGTTTGAAAAAATGGCAAACCGGTAGATAAAACCTTTGATCTGCTCTGGTGATATTAGGCCGAATTATGAACAGCCTTGCAAAACGTACCGTAGACAGTGGACGCTGGCGAACAGTGCCGCCTCTTTGTCCCCTGTCTTTGCATTGTCCAAGGACCAATTCATCTGGTGACGTATTGAAGTGTGCTCTCTTACTAGGCCATTATTGGGGCCAAGTACAGATATGATAGTGTAGAGCCACGCTCGGCCATAGTCCACTACAAACATTACCAGAGGCACGAGACCGAAGTCCGATCGGTCTGTCGCCCTATCAATTTGAAACGCTCATATTTTGCGCGGTACGTGACCGGTTTGCGAACCCTGTTGCAACAAGTGCGATGACCTGTTACATTACCGTACCACTTTATTTTTGCTACCTACCACAATGATGAAGATAATGTCACAGTATTATGTGGGTAGTAAATGTCAGTGCCATTTGCCCGCTGGCCGCTGCAACTCTCGTCTGTCAGGTACCGTCTTGCTGGGTTTGTACGTATATAGTTTTCATCGAAGCCACTTACGCTGCTCCACTATGTTTTCCGGGATCACACGAAAGCATTGTACTCTGTACTTCCTGTCCGCAGTCGGGCCGATTTTTTTCTCCGATCACTGCCATCTGCCGCCGGTTGCCGACACTACCACTTATCCGTCCTCCGCCAGGTGCGCGGTGACAGCGTGTTCTTCACGCTGATGCTGCTGGCGACGGACGGCTTCCTGAACTGGATGCAGAACCTGGTGGCGTTCACGGTGCTGCACCTGGTGACGCCGCTGACGTACGCCGTCTGTAACGCCACCAAGCGTGTGTCGGTCATCAGCGCCAGCCTGCTGTTCATGAGAAACCCGGTCACGGTCACAAACGTGGCCGGTATGCTGCTGGCCATCGCAGGCGTGTTCATGTACAACAAGGTCAGTGTGTGGCCAAAGGGAGGGAAGCGGAGCGCAGGGTAGCATCAGCAGCATGCATTCTTAATGGCAAGGAGGCGTGTCAATTCGCCCGTGCCAGTGTCGTGCCGCCAACTTGCTGCACTGGCCATTTTCATGCCGATTGTCACCTGGAATTAGTGTCGGGGAAAATGGGCCGGTCGTGACCAGTTTTGCAGCTCATTTTATCCGGTAATGCCGCATTTCGGTAAACAACTGCTGTCGCAATTCCATAAAGGGAGCACAACTCTCGGAAAGCTGGCGATCACTGAAATGTGGCTACCGAGTTGTCAAGACAATGGCATTTTTGTTGTGAATGAATGGCGGCATCCGTTTTTGGTGATGCTGAATCGCATTGCTGGCGTCAAGGCCGACATCGCTGGTATAAAGTGACATGTTTTACCACCCCCCCCCCCTTGCTCTGGTCCCACTGTCACCCCTCGGCTCTTCCCTGGGGGTCTGACCTCCTGTTAACCTGTGCCCCCAGGCTAAATACGAGGCGAACCTGCGGCGACGTCAGGAGGCGATTCTGCCGATGGTCACCAAGGGTAACCCGCTGCTACACGGGGGCACCATGGGCATCGACTGGGCCGACAAGATCAGTCCCGTCTACCAGCCGCTGCACCATGTCAACCACCACGGTCACGGACACGCCAACGGATACAGCAACGGGTTCGCGCGCACGGTGATGGCCGCCTAAGGGGCCGGCCGGCTGCCGGTGGGGCACAGAGTCCGGACTGGATGCCGTCGGTGGTCGTTTGTGACTGAGCAGTGGCGTCCTGTGTGCTCCCGGCGGGCTGCTGGGAGGCTGCCTGTGGTGTGTGATCGGCGGGCTGCCGGGAGGCCGCCTGTGAAGTGCGGTCGGTGAGGGGGCTCTCTGGAGCTGGACACTGTGATAGTCGAGTGTGGGTGACGCCAGCCTGGGGCGGCTCGCCGAGGGTCCCTGCCCTCCTTGCGAGCACGCGAGCACGTCTGGCGGTCTGGACACGCTGAGTGGCTTAGGGTCGCCCTCTGCGCCGCCGCGAGGGAAGCCCGATAAGTTTCGACCGCGGGCGCTCCGACTGGGTGCCGTGCAGCATGGTGACATGACAGTGCCGTGGGTGCCTACTGACCAGGTACGTTTCAACGGCAATGTGCTTGGCGAGGTCCGACCTGCCTACTTAGTTTTGTGTGTGCGGTTATTGGGCTTGTAGTTAAGTCGTTTCATGGTTTTGTTTCCGAGTTTGTGAATCATCATTTTCGTGTGGTTATGGGTTATTCTAGTGAGAGCTATGGAAGCTGTCTTTTGATCCTTTAAGCTGTCGTGCCAGCCTCCAATTTATTGCAACTTTCCGATACATGTCAAGGCTCGATTTTCAATGGCCCGCGTTGTGTGAAGTCTGTTGTCATCTATTCAGTATTTTATTTATGGAGACACGCTATTATTAATCTTATTTTTGTACGTATTTATTCGCATATTTATTTTTCAGCTTTTCCAATTCACATATCAACATGATAGTGGCCAAAACTATTTATAGAAATGGAGTAGAAATGAAGATATGTATAACTAAAATTTTCAGTGGTAAAAGAATTATTGATTTGTCATCCAATGTAACGATATTGGTTTTGATCGTAGACCCAATGCTTACACATGGAGGATGATCTTACTTAACCCTCGCATGTGTAGGGGGGGGGGTCGGATGGACCCCCCCCCCCCATGGTTTTTCGCGAATAACTCGCGTAAAAAGCGGCCGATCGCGACGAAACTTTCAGTACCCTCGCATTGATCAATTTTACACCTACCCTGAAAATTTCATGACCCTGACCCAAATGACCTTTGACCTGTGACCTCTTTTCCGAGACCATGTTTGGCCGTAATCGCGATTTCGCGTATGTCGGCTCGCACTAGCCGCGTGTTTGCAAGCTTTTCGTGGTTTCAAACGTTCAAACATGTGATTTGATGTTACTCCCGTGTGTGTCAAGGTCACCTGAAGGTCAGGTCAGGTCATTGACCTTTGGTGACCTCGGGTGACCTCGGGTCACTTTTTCGAGTTTTACATGTTTCTAGGCTAGTTTTTGGAGCTGAATTCGAATTTAGCAACCATTTGAACATTTACGAAGTAGTTTTGGTGACTTCGTAACATGTTACGAAGCTGTCAGAGGCGGTTGACACGTACTACGAATACCCGTCACGACGCCTACTGGTTGACCTGACCTGACCTGACCCGACCTGGTCTAAATGCTTCAAGACATCATCTGTGATCAAAACTAACACGATATTCGTGATCAGCACCCCGAAAAACCCCTTAGAAGCCACACTTTACGACTTTCTAACAGGTCCCGATTTTCCCGACTTTGGGTCATTGACCTGACCTGGAAGGTCAACCAATGACCTAGGACCTTAAAATTGGGTATCATCGGCTTCCTCTCGTCACGGGCAACACGCTCGTTTTTTCCGCGAAGCTCTAGCTCGATCAGGGGCCAAACGGCAAGGGGGGGGGGGGGTCCAACCGACCCCCCCCCCCCCCTACACATTAGAAGCTGGAAAACGCCGCACACATGCGAGGGTTAATAGTCTAGCTTTATTTATTTAGTTTTAGTGGGGTAATGATATAATTTCTCCATATTCTATGACATGTGTGTCATACTTGACTACTATGTACCAATTATGGCCCTCGTTTTGATGGCACCTGCCGCTATCGTAACCAAACATTACCAATCGTTTGTCTATTTTCCGATCGACTTCCATGACTTTTCTTCGTATCCGCTGAGCCGACCGGCCGATGCCGTGTGCGGGTTCAGTGGTACTAGTACCTGTGTGGGGAACTGGCCCGGTCTGTCCAGCGGCCGTGTGCCCGCCGCTGGGCGTCTTTCGGTGGATGTTCCCGGTCCTTGCCGACGAGAGGGGTCCACTAGGAGTCACCCGAGGGTGACCTGTGATGCGCGTGTTCCTGTCTGACGGTTTGGTGATAGGCACCGCGTAGCATTGTGAACGTGACTGTAGGACTGGCAGAGCAACGAAAATTATTCTTTTGATTGCTGGCGCCTTGTGCGTTTGCTGTAGATGTGCTGTTCTTTCTATACAAAATGCCCATGATCGGCGACGACCGTTTGGCGCGAAATGTTCTATTTTATGCGCTGTTACGTGGCGTATTGTGTGCTACATGAAGAATTTGTCTATTTTTCCACTGTTTTAACTAGCCAAAGCCGCGCGTCACCTAGGCGTCTCGCCATCCTTTTCCCGATGACGGGCAATCAGCTGTACATACTAGCAGTGCGTTCAAGTGTGATAGCAGTGCGTCAAGGGCTCAAATATGTCTCGGTCTCCGATATGGTTGCTGTTGGAACTGAGCGTGGGGCCCTCTGGGATGATATTGATCGGATTGGTACCGACTGAGCCTCTTTATCGGCTGATAGTGTTGGAACGTGTCTATGACGATCCATATTTTCCTAAAGCTATTTGATCTATGTAAATCGTTCTATGGTGGTGTTTTCAGCCTATGAACAATATGAACACATGTTGACGGTCTATAAACGTTTCATGTCATGGTATTCTTCCTTTATTAAACCAAGCAGGATTCCTCATATTGAGGAAAGCTATATTTGCTAGTAAAATTGTACGATGCTCCGTGGTTCGGCCTGCACGTCGTCCTTTCTGAGAATGTGCCTTAATTCACGAGCCGATGTCGCGTATTTCTCCGGAGAAATGGTGTGGAGTAGATTTCTGGGTGTTATGGTGTCCAAGGCCTAAGGGACCAATTGTTTAGGACTCGCAAACAAAAGCTAAACTTATCGGAACTACGACTAATTGTCTTGTGCTCTGCTCAGTGCTCGGGCTTAGGAGACTGGTCTCGTGCAGTCATGCAACCAATATATTGAAATAGTATCAGTTCGGCATCCTGAATCAATTGCAAGATGCACTGTATAGTGTTTATAGCCATCCGCACTTACTATTTTGTGGAGTTTCATAAAAGTCGTTTGTTGAGGCCTGGGGGCGACGAAAAACGGAAGTAGGAGTCAAATACGTATGTCGGTAGACGACGTCAGGCACCACGTTTCTTTTTGTTGATAAACCAAGCCAACGTAGGTATTTGGGGAGGCGTGGCCCTTTCCTTGTGAAGAATGCCTCCCTATCATAAGCGTAACTTTATATCTCTTTGTGGGTGCTCAAGCACCCCCAATCCTGAGCTCAGCACCCCCTGCCTTCTTAAAGCACCCCCAGCCCCTCAAAACATTCCCAGCTGACTCAAGGCCCTCAATAATCAGAATGTCCATCTCTTAGTACTGTAATGAGCCCAGTGAATCATGCAAATACTATGCTTACTCAATTCAGTGACTAAGAGAATATACATTGAATAAATCACCACAAATTAAGATGCATGATATTTGTGTTAACATTACATCTGATATTATCAGGGGCCCGCGAACGATTTTCAAGTTGGGGGGGGGGGGGGCGAGCCTAAAATACTTGACATGATGCATATGAAACAGTGGCATAGCTAGGGGTCTAAGGGGACACGTACCCCCTCCCCCCCCCCCCATCGAGTTCAAAGGGACCCTCGGGTCCGAGAGGCCCTGCGGCGCCATTTGACCGCTGAGGGTTAACGATGACCATATTTCTACTCAGAAGGGCCCCGTGGGGCTCGTTAGAGCACCTCATGGGCCCTAAATAGCCACACTAAGGTCTCCATAAGGGCCCCACGCCGACTTCTGAGGGCCTCTTGCGGCTTTTAAGGACACCTCGGTGGTCTCCAAAGGCCCGTTAAGCCTGAAACAGACTCTGCAGTCAGGAAATCGCATGCGAGAGCCTATTCAAATACATGGAAGCACGCTCGCATCAATCGCACGCACCTCCCGCGAGCGATTGATGCGAGAGGAATTACAATGTAAATGAATACTGAATAGGCTCTCGCATGCAATTTCCTGAACGCGGAAAGAGTCTGCTTCAGCCTTTACTGGCCCCTGAGAGGTCTTACCGGCCTATGAGGGGCAGTTCTAGGGGCATTTCCCACCTGTGATGGTCCCACACTTATTTTTCTGAGGGCCCCATAACGGCAACTATGGGGCCCTCATCGGTGCCTATGAGGGCCCACACCGGTGTCTCTGAGGGTTTCACACCCCCAACTCTGAGTGCCTACACCAGTGCCTATTAAAGTCCTATATCGGCGGCTCTGAGGACCCACCCAACACCTGCGCATCTAAAGGCCACCCACTGATGACTTGAGGGCCCCACAACGGTGACCCTTAGGGCCCCACCGGCGTCTGACAGTACCATGTCGGTCTCTTAGGACCCCGCAGGACTTCTTCTGCCGGCCTAAGCCCGCTAAGGACCGGCGGTCACTGAGACCCCCTGCCGGCTTGTAGAGAGTTCGCTTCAGCAGCTCTAAAGGCCCCACACCCGCCTGTAACGGCTCTACACCAGCGTCTATGAGGGCTCGGAGCAACGCCTGTAAGGACCCTCATCGGCGCCTCTGAGAGAATCACACTAGCACCTCTGATCGTCCACACCGACACCTGCATGGCGGCCCCACACCGGTGCCTCCCTTACCGGCGGCTCTGAGGGCCCTACGCCGGTGATTCTGAGGGTGCCACCGATAACTGAAGGCATCACACAAGCCCTTAGTGTAGCTGAGCTTTAATCCCATACCGGCCCTCCGAGGGCGCCACGTCAGTGCACTCATTGCCCCACATCCCTTCCTCACACCCGGAGCGGGTAAACTGTGTTATACCTATAGCAACGATTTTACCACCGTTGTACGTTATGTATTTCTCAAAGTTGACTCAAAATGGTCCATTACAAAATCTGGCCTGCCAAACTTATGGCCAAGGTCAGGCCCAAACACGTTTTGGGCAATCAGTCTCAGTCCATGACTCCATTCTTCGGCAACTACGGTGCAAGGCCGATACTGTAGAAACTTGCAATTTGTACCCTTGACCTGGCCTTGACCTTGACCTCAAACTTAAAATTAAGTTCATGTTTTTAGTTATTCGTGATGAGATCCTTCGACTGGCGTTTGAATTTTCCAAATCGGACCATTAGTTCGGGAGATAACAGGGGGGTAAAATTTATCCCCCCAACCCCGCGCGTTCGGCTGGAGACCCCAGCCCCGCGCGGGTTAAGCGGGTTAATGCCTTGGGTGAGCCAAAATTGTTTTACAGTGGCGCTATTAAAACAAGCTCTCGAACCGATTTAACATCATTTCTTGCATGATGCCTGATGGCTACAGTAAAAAAGAACAGCTAAAAAAAACTACAAAAACTATGGCATGCCTTTCTGAAAGCTATTGAGCACCCCCAATGATTTTTGGAAAACTACACCCATGCTCCCTATCCCACAGGAGAATGTCTACGATGATACCGTACGGTAGGAGGCTGCCATTCGCTGGTAACCTTGCGCTCTAGCTTTATTAGATTTGATCATATGTCATAGAATTACGGTTCAATAAAACTGCTTAGAGTGTAGCCAAATTCATCAAAAGAACATGTCATCTTCAAGAACTCACTTTTCGATACCTTGGTGTGGTCTATCTCATTCCTATAGTCCATAGCGTTTTGGGGATTTACCTACGCTGTTCCTTATAAGAATGTCGTCATATTTGGCGCTTCTGTTCTGTTTTCGTTCTATTGCGCCTGTGCCTGTAAACAAACATAACTATAGCACACCTCAGTGTGCTGTTTTTGTATGCTGTTTATGGAAGAGTTTGTTGATTTTATTTACCATTGCGTGCTCTTAGTCTTGTATTGTGGCTTCCGGCGCATCTATTAGGTATTGACTGTGAGGAGATATTGCTAAGCTCACTCAATATCGTCCCTTCTCAGCGCAGGCTTAGATCTCAGCTGCCAGTTCAACATCGAGCTCTTCCACTTCTTAAACTTTTACAGTACTTTTTCGGTCTCAATCTGATGTATCAGTATTTCTCATGTGTTTTGGCAGGATTTGTCGGAATATATGACAATTGTTAATCTAGAAATTTCCTATTGTCTACGTATATTTTGGCTAGGTGCCTACTTGATTTGACTGAGCTCCCCTATTTTAGAACTTTTGACCTTCATTTTTAGATCATTTTCATGAATGCTGAATGACTAGTAGCTCTTAAATGTAACTTATCATTATTGAGTGCAAGGCCAGGCTGCATAGCTTGGTAATTTTGATGAGATTTTGTTTGTGCAGAATCACTCGACTAACACTGGTGTGTGGTGCAGGTTTTACTCTGGTCATCTGCCTGCAGTACCAGTATGCACATCAACATTGTTCTCTTTGAGTAATGAAGCTATCACCAGGGCTGCCAAGTCAGAGTCTGAGTTGACAGTTCTCACTTCTCTCTGGACTCTGGAGTCAATCACAAAAATCTTGCTGATGTTTAGTTGGCACAAAATAGGTACTATGTTCCTTGGCACAGGACAACTTAAAATTGCCTGCTCAAGCTAATGTTTACATGCTGTTTTGAGGTCCATGACAGTTCTGTCAAAGTAAAGCCATACTCCTGCTTTGAACAAAAGTTTTTAGTATGTAAATCAGTGGATAACAGTTGCATTAGAACCTGCTTTTAATTCAACATATTTGATATTACCTATCTATAAAGTAGGATTTTGGAATGCGCAGAGGTTTGTTTCAGGTAAGGTAAAAAGCATATCAACCATGAAGTTTGCTATCATGGCATACATAGAGTTCAATTGGGATCCTGGAGTCTGAACTCTGAACTGGAGTGGGAGTCAGGCTCAATTTTGGGGCTGGAGTCTAGAGTTGAATTCACTGAAAGTATATGAAACCTACAGCCCTTAATATCCTATAGATTTCCCTTGATGCCTGTTAACCAGGTTAATAGGTAGAAATGCAACATATTAAATTTACTATGCAAATATGATTACAAGTTCAAAATATGATCTTTGCAATACAAGCACATACAAATCTTTGGACTGCAAAAGTTGTTAAAATGTTCGCCCCAGGGCGGCGGATGTGGCTCCCAATGTCCGTCCCGGGACCGCGGATGTGGCTCCCAATGTCCGTCCCGGGACCGCGGATGTGGCTCCCAATGTCCGTCCCTGGGACCGCGGATGTGGCTCCAATGTCCGTCCCGGGACCGCGGAGCTGAGCACTGCCACGGACACACGGTCGGCCACTGAGGCCCGCCCGGGGGCAGCACTGGGCGTGGTCGGGGCGCGACCAATCTGCCGCCTCTGCTGACCTCCGCATCTGACCCGTGATCGCCGCAGATAAGATATGGCGCACCGACGCTCTGCGGCGGCGCGGGCGGCGGCGGCCGACTCAGAGCCGCTGCTGCCGCCTGAGGACACTGGGGAGCCGCCCGGAGCGCCCATGACCGACTCTGTGGGAAGTGGTGCTGGCCAACATGGCGGCACCAGCAGCCTCAAGAACCAGGTGCTGGCCAGCCTCTGCGGTAAGCACCGTCCCCGAGCCCTGCGTCCGGCTCGGGTGTATGTGTAGAACGGTCGGACAATGAGTGTACCTACCGGGTGTCTCACTAGATTTGTCAAAAAGTATCTGATAACAAAAGTAACATGAAATGTGCAAAGCACGTGACTGTGCACGT